AAAAGAGGTAAAAGAAAGAAGAAAAAACAACAGAAAAAGCATCAAGAACTTGGTTACTAAAACTTTCTCCTAGAGGTTTTCTTGACCTTTCAGCAAGAGATGCAAGCACAATGGTTCTTAGAAAGTCATGCTGGGAAAAGCACCTGGGGATTAATTGTTTTCAGGAGTAAATTTGTGAAAGCTCTTTGCCGTATTTTGGTTAGCTCTAGCAGCAATTTGAGCCGGGATCAGGCCTTCCCCCTCACTTTTTTCAGCCTAGTTTGACCCTGAGAACAAGCGTCTCTGTTCTCTGTTCTTTTTACAAATGGCCTGAACCTTGGTGACATGGTGCTGTGGCCAAAACACACTGAAGTTCATCCCCACTGCCCCATTGCAGCCCTGCCTTGCTGGCAGAGGGAAGACGAACTACTAGCACCAAAAACCCAGGTCACCTGTTTTTTCCTTTCAGAGCTGTGGCCTTGCAGGTGATCCCCTTTGGAGCCAATGACTGAAGGAGGCTGTGAAATTTCCAGCTGTTGAAGACTGCAGAGCAAGGCTGGATGCTTCTCCGGAAGGGCTCAGCTCCTTGACCCTCTCACTTGCATCCTATGTCAGGCAAAGAATTAGCTGCTTCTGATTACGAGGGGGACTTGAAAGGTAAGGGCTGGTTGCTTGGTCCCAGTCTTATCCAGATTCAAGTGATCTCTGCCTTCCCTTTACTGGACTTACAAACTCTTCCATGGAAGGACAGCACTTTGGGCCAGCTATGGTGCCTGGCTAGAAAGGAGCTAACCTGTCCTTGGGGAGGGGGAAGCTGGAGCAGATGGTCTAGCTGGATGCTGCCATTAGCTTTACCAAGGATCTCTGGTCCCCCAAGCCTTGCTGTCTCACACCCACAATCATTTTCTTGTGCCGTACACAGATGGGGTGAACTTCACCTCCAGAAAGAGAGCCCAGGGCAGATTTCCCAGGATAAGGTGGAGAGGCAAGTAGCCTCCAGCCCTCTGTTAGCGCTCCCCAGGGCAGGTTGGTGACACAATGAAGTTGAGTTGCTTCCCATTCCTTCATATCGTGACTGGAGCCAGCAGGAGGTTTCAGGCCATTGGTTTCAGTAAGACCTACATGGTGCCTAGGTCTTATGCTGGCTCTCTGCCCAGGGACAAATTGTCCCAGGAGCAAAGAGGGAGAGAGTAAGAGATGTAGCTTTGGCTTTGCTTTGGCTTTCTCAGCTGGAACTTGTCATTCGTGTTCCTCATGCTCTCCTTCCTGTCCCACATCCATTTCAAAGTGACCACATCTCAACCTTCCTTCCCTTTTCAAACACATCTCTTCCCCACTCCATGTTTCTACCTAAGACAAATGGCTGTAAGTCACTTGATTTTCCTGCAAGGAAATGAAACATCCTACACGGATTTGAATCCCCTTCTTCCCCCTCCCTCAGAGGCAACTTGAACCAGAGGATGGACAAGTGCAGTTCGGAGGATGTATTCAGAGCTAGTCCTGGGGTCAGTGAATTGCTGCAGCTCCTTCCAGGCAGGTTATAACAGGAAGGCAAAAACGATTCAGGCCCAGCCAGGAAATGGCTGTGCAAGAGAAATGGAGGTGTTCTGCCATGTTATCACAATGCCTTCTCCTCTCTGCCCAGGGGCGGTTCATCTTTAGGAAGAGCTGTACTTGTTACTCAAGCGGGAGCTGCTCCGGTCCAGACCAAGCTCCTGCCCATTGGTCTTCCACTTCCCAACAGAGCCCTTCTCATCTGTTGGCATGATGCTCAGAGCTGGTCTCTGGCACCAGCAGCACAGACAAGACTGTGAAGAGACAAGAGGGTTGAGAGAGAAGTTACAAACCTGAGTTGCAGGATAATAGAGGGAGAAATATTCTCTTAGTGATATTGGCAAGTCAATCTGCACAGTGTCAGGCTGGGAACCGCAGGCTGCACGTTCTCAGCCATAGAGAACCAAAGTAACCATAGGGCTGGTGTGGTTTGGAAACAAAGATCGCAGACCTCTAGGGAAATCTTGAAAACCTTGGGTACTTTTTGCAGTTGTGTTTTCTCACCCTTGAGGGACAGAAAATATGGGTAAAGCTCGGCTGGGGTCAACTCCTCTTTCTACCACAGCAGCTGGGAGGCGATTCCCATCCCATCCCATCCCATCCCTTCCTCCCTCTCTTCCTTTCTCTGGGCTCTACTGTTCCTGAAAATTATCTCTGGGTATCACAGGATGGAATTTTAAAGCAGACCCACTCTCTAATTTAGTGCTGTGTGGGGATGCTCCTGATGCAAAATGACTGTTTTTTTTTTTTTCTTGCTTTTTGAAGGATGAGTTCTGGGGTAATTTCACAGACATGCCAGAATTTACAGGTTTCTCTTCCTTGTAGGGCTATTCCATGGTGTAACAGAGCCCTGACTGTGATTCAGATCCCAGCATACTGCTGGATTATGTACTTCTGAATTGGTAACAAATCTCTAGTGGGGTTTGTTGGGGGCTAGACCAGGGCAACCCTTCTTTCTACAAGTAATGGCTCAGATAAAAAAGGCACGCTTGTAAGTGTCCTGGTTGACCAAAGTGGTTAAAGCTAGCCCTCTCCAGTAGCTGTCAGATCCTCATTCAGACTAGACATTCGTTGAACTTTGAAACTGCTTGTTAACCTCTCTATGGGAGGGTGTCCTCTTCCAGGACGAGACAGCCCAGATTTATGTCGTAGGGCCATGTTTGTTGAATTAGGAGGAGGTTGGAACAAGGAGCATCACCCCACATCAGCCTCTCTGAGTACATTTGCACTCGTCGCAGCCAGCAGACTCTCTGGAATTTGTTTCTTTCCACTATCAGGAAGACAAGGAGAAGAGGAAATAAACCTGACTCTATTTTCCATTTGCATATAACTCAAATATTGATGTTTCTCAGCAGGGGCTTGGAGGCCTAGGGGCATCACTGCTTCTGTGGGAAGAAACACAGCGGCAGTCTGTTCCATCAGAACCTCTTTGGCTCTGGTCTTGGAGCAGGATATGGAATGAGGAACAACCAGCAACTTCCCATCCTTTTGCAATAAAAAGTTTGGGAGGTTGGAGGGGGACAGGAAGGGCAGGAATGGGATTCCAGTACTAATTGGCTTGTCATAGGTCCTGCACTGGCAAAAGTAACAGCCTCCCTAAGGGCAGCATGCTCCAGTTTGCTTCAAGTTGGGAAGAGAGGCATCTACCAAGGGTAAATCTGTGAGGAGAAATATAATCAGTATAAGAGCAAATAAGGGAATGCTGAAAGCTGCTGGCAGGCCCAGAAATGTACCTGACGGGGCACTGGCCTGGCAGCCAGGAGCTCCAAGGTCTAAACCAGTCTCTGCCACTGCTTGCTGGGTGTGTTTGCCAAGCCCTTTTCCACCTTTCCCCTCATCTAGCGAGCACGTAGGTCTGTTGCGATAAGCGTGCCTCTTGTTGCACTGTGCCTGGTCCAGGGGAGCTTGTGCTCTGGGACAGGTTTTTCGGGCATGCCCCTCTCACAGAGTCACTCCCCACTGGTGAGCAAGCCCTCTGGCTTTTGCCAGCCATAAGGGGGCAGTTGCCATAGCCAGGAACTCCAGGGGATTCACTCCTACCTGGAAGCAGTTCTTGAATTTCCGGCTGACAAAGTAGAGAGCCACAGGATTGATGCAGGAATTGAGGGAGGCCATGTTGATCCCAAAGTAATCCATCACAAGGAGGAAACTGAGGCAGGAGGGAAGAGAAAGGGATGGACATGTTGGAAGCTCACCAGGCATAGAACTGAGAGAGGGTTTCCAAACTGCCTGCAAACTGCCTGGCCCAGGAACCTAGTTCCACAGAGAGCCAGTGACTGATACCATAGAGGAAAGCACAGAACAGTCCCTCCTGTACTTGGGCAATTGCACAATGCTTTTTCTTGCAAGGGTTGTTTACTGAGGATCCTCAGGTTGCAAGTTCTGCTTTCCCTTGGGTGATCCTGATGTTCTCAGACTCAAACTCAGCAGCAGTGTCTAGACTGAACTGGATTCAGGTGTGGTGGGTAAGGAGGAGATGAGAAGATAGATATCTACCACGTTGCATAAAGTGTGCACTCTCCTCAGAAATGTCGTAATCCCTTTACCCCTGTAGTGAATGCTTCTCTGCCCAGGAGACCTCTTTAATCCATAGTTTTACAGAGACCTTGCAAAATGGAGTTTCCCTTCCTCTTGCGGTCCCCCACACCCTCTTTCTGTGCCTATTAAAAGGGCAACGTCATTTAGAAAAGGAACCAGTGAAACAGATAGGGTTTTGGAAGGCAACCCATTAGTCTGACATGAACCCTACAGTGTCTCTACCAGTGCCCACATGGGCATACTGCCAAAGTGAGGGGTGCACTCATGTTGGTGCCCGTACCTGAGCAGTTCACATCTGTTGGGGTCTGTCTGGTCATAGATGGTCTTTTTCAGGATGCGGCTGAGGTGGAGCGGCAGCCAGCAGAGTGCGAAGATCACCACTAGGCAGAACACCGTCTTGGCTACCTCCCGGCGCTGTGAGGAGAAGGTGGACAGGGGAGAAGGGATGCTCTGGCTGAGCACAGGAGAGCAGATGGAGCAAAGCATCACCTCTCCACTCTGAGCAGGGGCCCTTCAAGTCATTATTATCACCTGATGAGGGCTGAACATCTCTTTTTGAGTCAAGACACTGCTTGTAGGTCCCCATTCCTGTGTCATGAGGAAGGCTCTGATATTTGGGCTGCAGAAAGGGGTAGGGTACGGTAGCCCAAGTAGACCAGAATAGAGACTCCTTCACACACACACACAGAGTCATTGCTCTCTGTGACTTTGGTAGGGTTACACTCCCTGGGACACGGGAGCCTCACCCATCCACCCTTCACACTACGTTAACATGATGACCAGCTGGTCTTCCTCAAAGGATCGTTCTGCAAAGGGTGAGAGGGGGCCAGTAAACTATTCTTTTTCTTGCACCCCTTGTTTGTGATAAGGCACGTACAGCACTTGGTCTACTTTGGTGGTGCCACAGCAAGGCTAGAAATAAAGGACCGTAGGAAATTGAAAATCAAGCTGATCCATGGTCATAATGTTAGTGGTTTTGGTTATCTCTGAGATGGGAGATTGTAGAACTGAAGGCCCCTGTACCTCATTTAATCCATGCACCTGCATTGATGTGCCATTAGTTATTGACCTCTGTGGAGCTCATATGCATCCTTTACAGGACCTGGTGTATGTTCTGCCCTTCTTCAGCACTCTCCTGTTTTAGCAAATATCTGGGTTTCTGCCCTTCTGCTTTTCTTACCCGTTTCATGTGGTCATTCAGAGAAAGTCTCATTCCATTTCTCTTGCTCAACATCTCACAAGACATGAGGGTGTAGAAGATGCCGGTGCATATCAAGGGGAGGCAGAAGTAGAAGCCAAAAAGCCACCAGTCCTTCACGTCACGGTAGAACTGCATGTAGAACAGAGAGGGATGTGAATTAGAAACATAGGGGGAGAGTATGTGTGCGTGGGGAGGGGGTAACTGGGGCATGAGGTGACCTGACAGCTGACACTGATGTTGATCAACAGCAGACCATTCTGACATGAGAGAGTGTAAAAATGTGTATTTTGAATGTATATGGGATCATCTTTCCCAAAGCTAATGCACATAGTTATCCCAAAGAAATAAAGGTTGGTTTACATACTCCAGCGCAAGTCTGGCATATCACTCCCACAGCTGCCAGTTCAGTCTAGCACTCCTGTGCAAGAGGCAATTGCAAGGAGCTAGTCTTGTCAGACAGAGGCATTAAGTTTCGGTGCCTTTATAATTCCCATTCTGTCCCTTAGCTGGCCTTGTGCTAACTGTTACCCGTGCAGAGTGGTTCTGGAGCCACTCTTTGATCTGCTGTGACAGAGTAGTGGGTTCTGAAGCTTACTGAGATGGGGCACTGCCTTCTGAGGTGGATAGCGAGGACAACTAGCTTAAAGGTCCAGCTCCTCATGCTCTGATCCCACATTCACAGCAAGGCTGCCCCATGTCAATGCAATGCTGGGCCTCCTGTACTCTGATACTGCTTTCCCCATGTTCACCCTGATGGCATCTACAGAAGCACCAGATTCTGTAAACAAGGAGGGAGGATGCCCCATCTGCCTGTGTCTCCCTCTCCCTTGTGCTCAGCTGCAATGGAGCAGAGTACACACCATCATGAAGCTGGATTTCTGTTCAGAGGAGAGCATGCACACCCACAGGTCTCGATCCCAGTAGTTGAGCTCCACCATGTCAAAGGCTATAGCTTCAGGGACTGCAAGCACAATGGCCACTGCCCAGATCAGTGTCACCTCGACTGCCTTCCACATGGGGATTCCTATCCCCTGGATCCGACTCCAGGAAGCCACTGCTCGGTACCTGCCAAACGTGGAAACATAACAGGGAGGGAGCAGAGAGGAATGAGAAAAGCAACACGCGGGAAGGGGAATGAGAAGATGGAAATTAGAGTTGTTCCCAAAGGCCCTTTCCCTTACATCTTCCTGCTTCATTTCTAGGTAGAAACAGACCCAGGAGCATCCTTCAGTGGAATGAGAAGGATCAGAAATGGGCTCATAAGAGACCCAAAAAGGGATGAACCTGATGGTAGCCATCCTTGCCCAGTGTGTATCTACCCTACTCTTCTGAAAAAGGTGCCATTCCCCCCCACCAACCCAGCACGCCCAGCACGTTCCAACACATCGTGCTCTTCCCCTCAAATTTTCTGGCAATATTTGAGCTCTTTTCCCACAGAGAAGAGTCAGTTCCTGGTTGATATCACCTCTATGTGATGGCATCTGGTGCCCTTTCTGAATTTTGGCCTGAAGTGCAACCAAGCTGCCCTGCACTCTACCCTTTGGTGACAATGAGGGGACATGCCATGATTAAATATGGGTCAGGCTGCCAGTGCAGCAATAGAAGTTTTTCATTACCTGTCGATGCTGAGAGCACAAAGACTGAGAACTGTGATGCCCACTGAGGCCTTCTGGATGAACGGGACCAGCTTGCACACCTGCACACCAAAGGGCCAGTCTTTTGCCAGGAGCTGAGGAAGAACCACAGGGTTAACAGACTGCTTTGGGAAACCATGTCCAGCTTCCTGTAATAGCAGGTGGTTACCCACATGTTGAGACAAGCCCACAAAGAGCAGCTGAAAGCACTCTGAGGTTACCTCCACTGGGAGTATGTGGTGCTTGCTCTCCGGTACTTTATATAGTACTGGGAACCATTAATTTCCCCAAGGACTAGTTGTGAGATGAATTGACACATACATGGAAGGATGGTCCAGACACCAGGTCCTGATTCCAAACTCTGTGTGATTTTGGATGAATATGTATCATAAAGCCTGGGCTTTGGGTCACTTTCAGAAGGGGAGGAAGTTTCTGTCCCAAGTGCAAGCAAAATCCTGTAAGGACAGCTTCTTTCAGAATGCTTTCAAAGCCATGTAGTCTTAAGCCTTCACCACACTCTGCTTCTCTACCACACTTAGGTCCTTTGTGCAAATTCCCCTCAAAGTTTTTGTGCAGCATGAGTTGAAACAAGTTATATTTGATTGCCTGTGTCCAAAGGAAAGCAATGGTGGACTTAATCAAGTGATATGAGCATCCCCACTTTGTCAGAACATCCTGAACAAATAAAGACAAGGCAAGAGGCAACATTTGTTTCTAAGTAAATTTCAGGGCGATCAGGGTTTATCCAGTGGAGAATGAACTAACATGAGTTCCCTGTCTTGTTTCTGCCAAAGACCAAATTGCACCCAGCCCTCCCCGTTGCTTACTTGCTGGACAAACAAACAGGAACAGACCCCAAAGGTCAGGGAGCAGAGGCTCCACCAGTTGAAAAGTATCAAGTTGGTCTGAGGTAGGAGGCAATTTGCTTTATTTGAAATAGTTGGTTATATCCATCATCACATGGAATGCAACAGCTTTACTCCAAGGATGAATTTCCCCTGGTGGTTTGAATGAGGACAGTGCAAAGGGAGAAGGAGGGGTTCACAGACCTGATCTGGATAGGGTGTGGAATAGGAAGCCCATGTAGGGAAGTGGTCATTGCCATAATATGGTGTATGATAGTTCTTCATTTAGTAACATCTATATTCTTACATTCCCTGGCTGTTTCTAACTACGAAAGACTTCATGACAGAGATGTTGACGTTGCTGAACAGAAACTCGGTGCCACCCAAAGCTATACTGATCTATGACTGATAAAACATTTTACACTGAGACTGGGTCCTAAATGCCCTGGAAGCATCTGCCATTCTTGGCCTTCTCTCACTCCAGTCTAGTTCTATGACCTATGTCAGCAGCCTCCTTTCCTTCTGCTCCCAAATTCTCTCGTCTCTGGCTGTTGATTTGGTCAAGTTTTCCCCTTGAAGGAAGGGTTAGTAGCTATCTGTGGCTCTGAGCTCAGCTGGGGCAAGCAGAGGTATTGGAGGAGACAAGATGCCCTGGAGGCAGGAGAAATCCACAGTAATTGACTCACAGGGATGTTGACGGATGTTGGGCTCACAGCCCTTGTATCCCTGAGGTAGCTGGGGCCCATCCTAAAGTTGTCCTCGCTTAGAACAACCCCCAAGCAAGCTCTTTAGTTTGGCCTCAGCAGCAACACAACCCCAAATCATAAGTTCTTTTGGAAAGAACTCAGGGCCTGAGGTAAAGGTGACCGACCCATCCAACCCTTTCCTGTGGTCTGAAGTCCTAGGAAATCCTCCTCTCATCTGTTCCTGCCTCATAAGGAAGATACACCACAACGGCAGCAATTGGGCTACTCTTAGAACTACGTTGCTCATAGTTAGTTTGAGCTTCTGTAAGAAGTATCAGCTTCTCCAAAAGGTGGCTGGAAGGTGAGGTGCAGAAGGCAGAGGAGGATACTCAAGTGGCCTAGGAAAATCCAAAACATCAGTTGGAAAATATCAGTGTAGATGTGGCCAGAGCAGGGAGTCCTGTCCTTGGGGATTTGATGCAGTTTTCCCACCAAATGGCAGGAAACATCAATGCAAGGCCTTAGCGTGGACAAAATGCCTTGCCATTTGCTTGTACCACCTGCAAGCTGTGCTAGTTGCAGCTCTGAGATGGCAAAGTGTCTCTAAGCCAATAGCTTGTGTGAAGCATGAGCTGCCCCGTATACGGGGCCTTTGGTCTGATCCATGAACTCTACGCAAAGCTCAGTGCATCCCCAGTTCTCACCTGGTCAGGACACAGAGCTGTGTATTTAGCCTGTGATGGGCTGGTGAAGAAAGATATGAGAAACACTTGGTGACATGAGCAAGCTGCCATGCCTGAGATTGCCTTCACAACAGACAGAATGCCCTGTGAGCTGATCACCCCCAGATTTGTGTCTTGTGGACAGATTCTCTGGTGCAAACTCTATCTAAAGCCTTTTCCCAGTAGCTGGACGCTCACAGCATCTTTCTTGCAGGCAGATTCTTTGATGTCTAACAGAAGACACTCTACCAGCTTTTCTCAGTGGCGGCATTTCTTGGGCCTCCATCTGGTCCTGGATGCCCCTTTCTTATGACGTACAGGGCCTTCCTACCGCTGAGACTTGTGAAATACGGTGGAAATGGGCAAACTGACCCTGAAGAGATTAGGGAAGGGCTGTCAGACAGACACATGTAGTCACAGCCCCATTGTATAAGCCTTATTTCTTTGGGAATCTAGGCTAAAACCAGGCCGGTTGCCCCAATTTCATGCATGATATAAAATGGCAGGTGGATTCTACATCCAGATCCCCCGAAGTGATGGAGTGTTTGTATCCCATGGAGGCAGGTCTCTGTTATTTTGCTGTTGTTATTCAGTCTTTGTTAAACGTAAGGTGCACAATGCAGGTTCTTTCCCCTGCTAGATGGTGCACTTCCCGTAAAGCATGAGAAAGTATTAAAATGGAAGGCTTCCTGCCTTGGTTTTGGGAGGGCAAGTATTGGAGGGGCTTTGCTGACAGTCCCAGCTCAGGTCTGATTGAGCTTGTCTGGCTGTCTGCGCAGCCCTCTGCCCTGTGAAATGGGTGCAGGGTAGATGTGATCCCAAAGAGAACAGCTAGCGTTACAGCCACATTCCCCAGACTGTATCTCCCTTGCCTGGTAGAACAAATCACATGTTATTCAAAACAAAGGGAGCCTGTTTGTGTAAAACCGGAGATGGGCTGTACCCCATGGGTGGAGGAAGGCAACCTTCACTTGGATCAGTGCTGCTGGCCACAAGCTACTCTGTTTACTCAGCTGATAACAGGAGAAGATTCACATATGATTGAAATCCTACGCATGGATCCATATCCTGGTCTCAAAGGGGATCATCTGGCTTTCAGACCTGGCCACCTGGAGAAGCTGGCAGAATGACTTCCCTCACAAGACTTTTTGGAACTAAAATACCTTTATAGTTTTCAGTGCAATGTCATTAAGAATGTATCTATTCACAGTGATCTGAGAGTCTTTGACAATTATAACTGGTTGTTCTCACGGTCAGATTATGCACATCTTCCTCCTACTCTGAATTTCTCCCTGCCACCTGGTCTGTTTGCTCCAGGAACGCTCTAGGATTCAAGTTTCACTTTCCATGCTGAAGATTAAACAATCCTCCACAAACAAATCTGACTGAGCTCTAAGGCGTCCCTTCCAAGCACTGATACAATCGTCTGACTCCTCTCTGACTCCAGTCCACCAAAACCTTTCTCAAGTGGTAGGCAAGAAGTAGCTGCACTGGTCCAGGCACATCACACAGCGGTTGTAGCATAACTTCTGCTCTTACCTGGTGTCTCAGGTCTAATGCCTATGTCTGCCAAGCCCTCTCTGCCTTTGTGCGGCATACAGAGCTCAGGTTGACCTGGTGTTTTGTTGTGCATCTTCTCTCTAGTCTGGGGAGCAGTGTCTCTAAAAGAAGCCCATATTTTATAACTGCAGCCCTTTTCTTTGTTCCTGGATGAGCCTTCAAGTTTAGCTAGAATAAAATACATAGGTGCTTGAGGCCAGCTTACTGAACAGTGCTGCGAGAGGTGTCTCCAGGGCATAAGAACAATAATATGTGCTCAGCTGCAGTAAACGTTGGGTTGTAATGTCATGGGACTACAAGTGATTCTCTTTCTGGGATTTTACATTAGATTTAGAAGGTCTGGAGGTTATCTGAATGTTGTGTGTGTATGTGTGTGCGCAACATAGCTGAAGGTAAGAACATTTGTGTTTTCTCAGAAATGTACTCTGTAGTTTTTGTCTGTTCTCTTTTCCTTTTGAGAATAGGCATGCCCTCCCCCTCTCCTTTGTGAAAACAGAGCCTGCAGTAAAGAGCAGAGGATAGATTCTACCCAGGGCACTGGAGCATGTGGGAGCAGATACCATTTCTGCAAACGCAAGGCTGATGGTCACATGGAACCTACCTTATACACGTTGATGGGCAGAGCGATGAGGATGTAGAGAAGGTCCCCAAGGGCCAAGCTAGCAATGAGGACGTTTGGCCCATTCCTCATGCACTTGTTCTTGTAAATGATCCTCAGGAGCGTAGAGTTCCCAATGATCCCTACTATGAAGATGGTACATGACACAATAGTGTTTATGTACTTGAAGATGTGTCTGATATCTGCAGGCTTCACACACACAGGCAGCAGGGGTGGCTCAGTCTCGGTGCTCCTGGGGACACTCTCTGAGTGGTTTGAGAATTTGACATCCTGGAACAGGCTTGGCTGGACAAGACTGTAAGCCTGCTCCTGGCTAAGCACCTCAAAGGGAATGGTGCTCTCCTGGAAAGCCCTTGGGGTCTGGCCACATGCCTCTGCGAAGAGGCAAGTCAGAGTAATAGCTAGAGCTGTAGGAACTGGGATTCTCGCCATTGAAGACTGAAATGTCAAAGCCCAGCAGATTCCTGGTGCAGAATTCCTTACAAGGCTTATGGTATATCTTTGCTTAGGTCTTGATTTGAGCTGTAGATGAAGAAAGAGACAAGGGAGGGAAATTGGTTAGCAGAGGAAGGAGGAACAGGATGAAACTGAATGAAAGGAATCTCTGGAGAAAGTCCATGATCACAGTAATCAGAAGTAATGCTAGATTAGATCCCAACCAGTCAAAGCAGCTGACACCTGTGGCTGGGAGTCTTTGCTTCCAAAATTAAACATGCCTATTCAGTAACATAAATTAAAAGGGAAAAAACAATCTCTAATGCCTCTTTCACAGGATTTCAGCAAACGATGTCACCCGTCCCTTTGAAACAGAGGTTTTTATTTCCACTGTGTGAGAGTGCGGGAGTTCTAAATTGTGAGGTGAGGGTTACCTTCATATCAGCAAGGTGCTTTGAAACAGCTATGCACCTTCAGAGCATTCAGCCTGGTACCACTGCTCACCGAGTAAACCTGACTTTCTCCCCAGCACAGCCTTTTATACCTCCCTGCCCACTCCACACCCTCTCAGTTTCTGACTTTTTGAGGAAGGTCAGAAGAAAAAGTCCTCCCTTACCCCAAACCAGACTGAGCTGACTGCATGGTGGGGTGGCAGGACTTGCTGTAGGATGCACTTGTGCATGCGTCTATAGGATATGCTGGGTGGAGCAGAGGAATTGACCCTCTTTTTCCCAGCCCTGGGCTGAAACAGTCACTGATATACTGCAGGTTTGCCTAGGAACACACACCCGTCTCTTTAGGAGGCACTGACAAGGCCCATGAGAAGGTGCTAGACAGGGATTCTTTTGATGAAAAGCAGATGTCAATAGGCAAGTGTTGGCCTATGAGCTAGTCACCCCTACAGTCAGTGGAGAAAAAGCAGCATTCCAAGGCCCTGTCCATGTCTGCACATCTGGATGATTCTGCAAACCCCATCTCAGGAGAGTTTCCTTTCCAAAGCCGCTTTGCCATTCAATTCGATACAGGGCCAGGACAGTGCGTATGTTGGGAGCATGCTGTTCCCACTCCAGGATGATATGACCAAGACACACATTAGCCCTGCCAGGTACAAATCCAGCTCCTCTAGACACAGCTGTTCATTTCTCACATGAGTAAGAGACGCAAACCAGGCTCTGTAGAAATGCCTGTGCATTTCTGGTTTTTTGGAAGACTCCAGCATCATCAACATGAAGCTGAACTGTTTCCCAATGAACCAGTCTAACCAGGCATATCTTTTTTTTTTCAGTTTCACTCTATTACTCTTGCCAGAAAAACTGTAAACAAGCAGCTTTAGGAAGAAGTTTAAAACTTATTCCCACTTACATGTCAAAGATAGACAATAAAATAATCAAGTTCCTTCAATCATGGTTTAAATAGATCTCATGAACTAGATAATTAAGTTTTCAGTTCCATTATAATAAAGGCATCTTAAAAGTGTTTCCTTTCTACTTTAAAGCCTCATGTTAGAATGGCACATTAGATAGTTTCACAGAGGAAAGCAAATGATCCCACCACTTTTCAGCTTAGAACCATCATGCTTCTCTCTGCTAAAATATTCATGCTTGGTGCATAGTCATCCTGTGTGTTCCCTGTGCAGACTCAAACGGCTTTGCAAACTTAACCAGCAGATAACCCATACTGGTGTGAGCCAGAACAGCCACTACAAAGCTATCCGCTTGCCTATGGCAGAAAGAAAGCCATTTACAATAACTTGGAGAGCAGTTAGAGAAAAGTCTCCGTATGAGAGCTGGGAAAAGAATTCACATCTGTCCTGTAAGAGCTCAGCTCTCCAAGGTGTGTAGGTATCTGAACACTGAAGTTTGCAACTCCTAAGCAGGAAGTTATTTTAAGACTGGGGAAACCCTCAGCCTGTACTGTCCATCCTGCACAGGGAAAGCTAAGTGCCTAAGGAAGGGATGGTGGGATGCGAGCTTGTCACCTAGGTTAGCCTATGCTAACCATAAAATGCTGAAATGCTATGAGAAGGGACTAAGATAGGCACCAGAACAGCTGGCTACTAAGCAGTCTGGGTAAGAAGGAGCCTCCTTCCACAAAAAAACCCTTTGGGGTATACATTGGTCTGAGCTGAGAACTCATAAAAAAGTTGTTACCAAGCAGTGTCTGGAGGGAGAAGTTCTACATACTTGCTGGAACAATCTTGGTGCTTGGTGGCTTTGAAGCATGAAGGTCCTGGAGCCTCCCCTGAGCTCAGTAAGTCCCTGATTAGTTGATTGCCAAATCTGAGACCTCGCATCCAGAGACTGTGGCACCACCTTCCTTCTGATATTTGCCTAAGCATCTGCTCCAACTGCTGCCCTGGAGACAAGGAACTGACCAGGGAGGACTTTTAACCTGACTGTTACAATACTATTCTCACCTGTGAATCCTGCTCTGGTGCTGAGCACCTAGATATGTTCGGAAGGGGGGAAGGAAGGGAGGGAGAGAATTGGTGAATAACCCTAAGAAGCACAAACCTGCCACATTGGAGACCTGGGCTCAAATCCCTCCCTTGTCTGGTTTGGTGCAGAGACTTTAGCCCGTGCCTCTGCTAAGGTCCTCAGCTCTCTTCTTGCCCCTGGCTAGGTGCAGCTATCTCACTCTTTCCTGTGACAGCTGTTCTCTACAGAATAAAAAGTTTTTCATTTGGCCAAATAAAGAGGAGGAATTAACTAGGTCATCTGATGACTGGGGTCTTAATGTGAGGCTTAAATTCAGCTCTTTTCCCTGGCAAACCTTGTATTGGTTCTGCTGGAGCCAGAGAGATGGTGACCTGCTGACCTTGTCTGGGGTGCAGGACCCATGGGCTCATGTCCCTGCTTCACATGCAGCAAGAGTCTCTCAGACGGGTGCCCTGACCAACACCCTCCTCTCCTCGTGGCTACGTGCGCAGAATTGGGGCTTTGTAACAGAGGGCAGACCTAGCTTAGAAATCAGCTAAGGCACTGTCTGTGGTCCTCCAGGGTCAGGATGGCTCACAGTGAGCCGCAGCAGATGGTGTAGAAAAGTGCCTGTCATTTGAGTACCCATGCAGTCAAGCAGAGCTGGCTGAGGGCTGTAAGAAAGATGATGGATCCTGGAATCAGAAGTTGACAGAGAGGCAACAGAGCTTCTCTGGAAAGCTATGTACCCTGCATTGTGCTGCCATGGACTGCTCCTATCTGCTCTCCCAGATGCAGACCTGCAGAGCCTGATGTGGCTGTTCAGCCCCTGGGTATTTGGCAGAACAGCTCACGTGAGTAAGGATCCACAGGACACTGCTCACTGTATCCTGCCTGTCTTCTTGATAATGCAGTTGCAATACCATTTCTGAAAAACAAAAAAACAAAAAAACAAAAAAACCCTCCCCTACTCCCTCTTGCCTTAAAATCCAATGATTTAGTAAAAAAGGAGCATTATTTTCTCCTGTTCAAACAGCCCTTTGGTTATTTACTACTTCTCCTCCATATTGCCTCTCTTCTCACATATCTCGGAGTGCTTAAACAAAAAATAAAGTAGCACTCTTTCTCACTCATGGGAAAAATGAGGGTCTTGAGGCTTGTTCAGTGCCCAGCAGATGTGAAGCCAAGGACAGCATCACTTGACCTAAAATCCACTCAGCTTTGCTTATGTTGCTGATGGTTTGAGGAAGTGACTTTGTACCTCAAGTGACACCTACACTAGCTGGGCCTCTTATGTCAGCAGATAGCTTGAACACGTGAAAACAGAGATCATCCTTCCTCTGTTCTGGGTCCAAAACTCAGTTGAATCCACTGAAGTTATGACAGGGACATCAGGAGGATAATTCTCAGACAGGAGGTTTAAACTGAAAACCGTTGCTAAAATGTCCCTACACCCTGCTCCCATCAAAAAGGTGGTATGCACAGGCCCAGGGGCTCAAGATAGCTCTTGCCTGGAAGCCCAGGAGGGCCCACCTCATCCCAAGTGAGGTTATTCATCTCAACCTGGCCTCTCCCTCCCCTCCATGCTGCATGCTGGCCTGCCTGTAGCAGGGCACCCACTGCATTCAAGAGCAAGTGTGTGCACAAGAGCAGGTGTTCTCCTGCCAGACTAACCTCACCAAACACAAAATAGACCTTTCTCGCAGATAAACATCTTTTGCGGGGAAAATACTGTAGGTAGGGAGAAAGGAAGAAAAAGGCTCATATTAATATCGCTTCCCCACCTCTCTCCCTGACCTGAACACAACTGGGTCCCAAAGCAGAGGCAGGGTTAAAGCTTTCCTCTAGAAGTGTCCTGGATTCCTTTTCCAGCTCGTGCACCCTTTCCCTACCCACCCGTTAGGTCTTGCTCAGGCACCACGATCCCTTTAACCTCACCCAGCACGGGAGCCCGGGGAGGACTGACAAACATGCAAAAATTCACACTGAAGCAGGAAATCATTTTGTCTACAAATTAGTGCATGGAACAGCAAAGCTTTTCATCAGAATTAAGTTACCTTCCTCGTGGCGGTGAACTTGTGATGCTCCTGGGATCAGTTTCTTTCCCACTTACGGCTCCTTCTGGCTGAGCAGGCAGCTGAGCATGTTCTGCAGGCTCCAGGAGAACTACAGTGTTTTAGATCCTGGCATTTGCTTTCGTGAGTGTGCTTGTATTCAGGAGAACGTTTCTTCTTTCTCGTGATTTGCTGAGGTTTCTCTGAATGGAGCAGTTGGTTATATACAAAATCACAGGGCTCTCTCCACTGCAACCAATAGGCAAAGCGCAGGACAGGGATGTAGGAGGAGGGTGAAGTATGAAAAATTGCAGGGCAGCTCTGTGAAGGAGATGAAAATAATGAACAAACAAAGCTTCAGGCAGAGGGAGGGAACTGGGGGCAGGCTGCTGGCCACAGAGCAGCGTGCCTGCCTGGATCCTGCCTAGCACGTTGTTTTGACAGGCTCTGAAGAGCACCGTGGCGGCGCTTCGGTAGATGAAGCTGCAGTCTTGATTGCTTTTAGGGAAAGGATTCTGGAGACATCAAAGCGTTTTGTGCCCAGGGTGTATAAAGTCAGCTGCTCCACCTAGAGCTTTTGATGAAGATCAAACATTCAGGAGGAGGAAGAGTACTGCAAGCATAGTAGAGAAGGTGTGCATTTTTCCTACTAGTTGAGAGGACAGACTATAAAGAGAAGTGTTTCCTGAGGTGCTGGAAAATGGGCAGGCCTCACTTTTCCCTCTAACACAATCTCCCTGAGCCCTGGTCTAGGTGAGGCAGGCTGGGGAAAGGTTTCGGAGCACACTCCCATCTATGGGGAAATTACACTTGTGCTTTTTCACATGCAAGCTCTGTTTTTATTTTGCTGTGGTTTCTGTGCATCCTGAACAGCAGCATATGACTACTCAAGATGCAGGAAAGAATACAGGGCCCTTCATGGCTGAGAATTTACTGCTGCCATATGGTTACACCAGCTTTCAGCCATCAGCCATAGGTCTGGTGCTCTCAGCCTTTCCAAGGGCCAGCACTCTGAACACGGTCCATGCTTCCGAGATGTCTCACATTGGCGAGGTGGTGCCTTGTTCCACCCACCCCAGTGCTTTAGCAAAGTATCCAGTATCGCCACACTAGCCCTGCAGTCTCTGAAAAGCAAGGAGGTCAGAATCTCCCATTTCCCACCCCATTATCTTTACCAGCAAAGCGAGAGGGGAACTGTCCTGGACTTGGCTGAAAGACTCCCCTGTGCTCTCTAACTGCCTCTGAGCAGAAGATCATGAGCAGCTCTTTTGTGAGACTTCTTCTGTCTTCCTCCAAACTATATGAATCAGTAGATAATTTGGGTTGCTTCACAGCATGTCCCTTCCCCTGCGGACAAAGCTTCTCCCAAACTCCTTGGCTCATCTGCTTAGAGAGGGACGTTTCTTTCCTCACCGTACTCTGAACTTAGCTGTGCTCAAGAACCTGAAATTTATTTGGTATGTGGCAGGTTGTTTCTTAAAGAAACTTGCCGAATCACCTTGCTTTGGAGTCCTTGATGGCTCAGAAAGCTGTGTTGGTGTGGCAAAACTACGTGAAACCAAGGCAGCTTCACTTTGGTACAGGTCTTCTTGCCTTTTAGCCTCAAAGCAAGGACAGAAAGAATGCATTCAGACTCTCTTCCAAACCATCCTAGCTGTTTTGTGAATCCCTCTCAAGTTAGCTAGAGCTTTTTTTTTGTTGGTTGCTTTCTGTTGTAGAGAAGAATGAAAAGTAAGTTTTCAGTTTGCTATTAGATTCAAAAGTTGGGGAAAGAGAGATCATGCCACACTGAGGATAAGGGCAAACGTTATGGTTCCTGACAGAAGAGAAAAGGAAAAATAAAACAAACATGAAAATTATTTTATACTGAACAAAGTATTTCACTTCAGCCCAAACTACATAAGAACAGAATAGCTGGGCTGAGTCAGAGCAGCATTCATCTAGCTTAGGATCCTGTCTGACAGCGCCCAAAAGCCACTGTCAGGGGAAGCTGGTGAGAACTATAGGACTGTATGTGATGCTGCCCCAAATTCTTTCAGGTCGTTTGGGCAGCTCATGGGTGTCCTGAGCCAGATATGGCTTCTAGGTACCGAACAACTCTCAGTGACTTTGTCTTCTTTGAACTTCTCCATCGATGCTGTGAATCCATGTACACTTTGAACAACCACAATATCCTGCAGCAAGGAGTCTGACAGCTTACCCACATCAGGTATAAAGGACCATCTCCCTTTGTGTGTTTTGAACCCCTGTTTGCTAGACCTCACTCATATCCCTCTCATATTTCAATTTCCCTTTTTCCAGACTAAAAGTCCAGCTCTCTTGAAGGAAGCCATCCCATAGCCTTGATCATCCTTTTTGCCCGTCTCTGAATGTTTTTCCAGGTGTATCGTGTTGTTTGTATACTATTTTACCTTCAAGCTATGATCTTTTCTGATCTCTTTTCTTAGTATGTCTTTCATTACTAGTTTTCAAAACTTAATCGCCATTTAAATATGCCTGACTTTGAAAATGTCATATAAAATGTTTGTTCTTTTCTGCTTTTTTTCCTTCTCTTTTTCTACCTTTTGACTGAAACTACTAAACTTTGGAGCACATTCAGTAAATTGTTTTAAAAAACAACTGCATTTTTAGAATAAACTAATACATTCCAAAAAAAAAGTCATGCATTACTTTTGTAGACGTTGTTTTTTGTAAATGTGCTGCAATCCACTTTTGGAGGCGGACTCCTGTACTATGTGTTCCTTTTGTCAGTCTGAATACAGGCAGTTTAAGCTTGTATAACATGATAACAGCAAATACAAACCTCACAAACAATTTTGATTTATCAAAACTGAGAGGCAAACAAAACACTGCCAGTCATTCTGAGGTGGGGGGAGATTTAGGCTGGCTGCATAGCTGACTGCAGGAAGAGCTATTCATAGCCTTACGAAAGAACGTGTTTCCATGGGAAACACAATCATTTCTGTGCTTCGCTGCAAACTCCGCATTGCTGCTGGGAAAGCAGCTCATCAGGCAGTGTAACTCAGGAGAGGTCCACATGCGTTCTGGGCATGCCGTTTCCCTTGCAGCTCTAGTAAATCACCCTCCTGCTGGACAATCACAAGGCTACTGAGTTTAGATCCAACACTAAGCTTTTAGCCTGAGCAGGCTCCTGTGCTATATCTTTATTAGTCCTATTTGCTCTATTTGGGCCATACATATTTCTGTTACTCTCTGTTCGAAATGGCACTTTGGACTCCAACTGTTTTCAGCCCCGCTGGTCGTTGCTCATCTTCAGTGACTATATCTTAAAGCAAGTCTTACTAAGCCTTTAACCATGTAGTACGCTGAAGGCATGGAATAGCATACTGTGGATTTTGTGAGAAGCTGCACAAACACTTACTCTTTATTTAAGGTAACGTAAAAAACAGACAGATTTACACACACTGGTAAAGCAAGCATCTGGATGCATTTCTCCTGCTGATTTCCCTCTGTTATTGAGATTTCTTTGGACTTTACCGAGTGTGATGCTCTCACATCCAAAATCATGGATCTTCTCTTTTTCTCTCTCTCTCATGGCTATAACTTTCTTCCTCAGATGCTCCCTCAGATAAAAATAGCATGCCCTCCTTTCTCCCTTGCTACCCAAACTTCCTTTGTCCTGGGGGTCTTCCTGACTTCTTAAGATCCTGAATTAGCGTCTGGTTTCCTTGACTAGCATCTAGGGAAAAATGATACTTTCAAATCTTGGCACTTCCCAGAGGACAATTGATTGCATTGAGGTCACAGTGATTCTTTCTGGTCTGTTTTTTAAAGAAATGGGGTTTATGTAACTGTGATATCTCTCATTCGTGCTGCTTCTTTTCCAGTGAGCTTAGTTTCAGTTCCGATCAAATGTTTCAGAAAGTCAGACATCTCAGAGAGAAATTGTTTTCCACTGTATTTTCTGAAAATCAGCAGCATAGCTGGTCAATTGGAGCAGGGCCAGCCAGTCTGCACCTAGAAATAACCCTAGCAAACACTCTACACTCTCCGGTGATGGGAGCATTCGAAGGTAAATGCACAAACCAGACAGAACCCAGGATTAGTTTCGTACATTATTCATCAGACAACTTTATTGTTCTCCTGGGAAAAGATCCAGCCAGGCTGTGATAATGACTGTGTGCAGTTGCCACTTCCCGCCTTGTTAGCAAAAGATTAGGGGCTTAGATGTTAGGATTCGAAGAGTTCGTAAAATCAACACCAATTGCTAAGCTCTCCCTAGAGACACTCCTCGAATCAGCCCAGCCAATCTGTGTTGCAGCAAATACCAAGGAGAACTCCTGACTTGACTACTACAACCCCAACAAAACCACCTCAGAGTTAAAGGTGGAGACTACCCAACCCGTAAGATGAAGTTTTTCAAAGATGCCTTGGAGACACAAACAAGAAAAGTCCCCACTAATGTTCATGTGACACGTGCAAGTAAATGTCTTCTGTGACTCTGAGAGATTCTGTCTTGGCCTTGAAATGAATCATAGTTCTTAAACTACATTAAGAAAGAAACTACAAATCTTTAAGGAATTGGGAAAAGAAAACTTAGTGCTGAAGAATAAACAGAACTAAATCAATGAGTAACAGATCTTGAAATTTATAAAGGACTTCTATTTTCTAGAAGAAATGAATATCAGACCATGACAACAGAGATGACAAGTCCCAGCAGTGAAAACTTTCTAGCGTTATTGCTGACATTTGCCAGGCAATACAATGTAAGTTGCTACATTTGCCTTGACTTCTAATTGGCTGCTATTCTTGTCACCAGGAGTGTAAATGAATCTGTGCAGTATCTCTGCTACTTATGAGAGAACAGCAGAAGTTGGCAATAAAATATTTTAAGGTGTAAACACTGTTACACTGTTAAAGACAATCTGAGTGGATCCGTTTCTCCTGTCAGGGCTGGAGTAAAAGAGCTTTCATGAGAGATTTCTGATACAGGTTTTCAAGTTGAAAACCTCACCAAAACATACCTCCTCCAGAGTGTCTGATGCTCCTTATTCCAGCTGGGAATGAGACACAAGAATGGATTAGACTTGGAAGAAGACTCCCTTTCATCTTGAAATGTGGCCAAAGATGCAAGTAAGAATTTGGCCAGCCTTGCTTTTCTTGGTTGTCAAGATTTGCACATAGGTTAGAGATAATCAGCCCAAGTACTTAGAAGCGCTGGTCTCTGCCTGACCTGATTTAAGTGGGGCTCTAGAAGAAGCTGCAGCTATGTCATCAATGTGAAAGGATTTGATAGCGGCCAGTCTCATTATAAAATGTATCTGTGTCTCAGTTCAGTTTTCCTCTGTTTCACATCTTAAGAGTAGATTAAGATAAGTACTGCAATGGAAACAAGGTGAAATCTTCTGAGTGTTGGCTAGTTAGAAACGGTGTCATCATAAAACACTCAGAAGCTTCCGTAAGTTTCTGTATTGGTTGTTTCAGAACTTTCCTCCTTCTTGGAGAGTAAGCAAATTATTTGTGCTTCTCCACTGAATCATTTCCATGATTACCTGCAGCTTTGATGAATCAGAGTTGTGGATAATTTATGGAAAAGTGATGTCTTCATTTACTGCATATCCTTGTTTATCAGAAATGATTCTTCACTCAAAAGAGTTGACAACAAAACTTCCATTCAGAGTCTTCTCTCTTCATCCTTTAAAGCATCCCAAACTGGAGACTCCTTGTTAGGCATCTTTCGCCTTATCATCTCTCCCTGGCCTTCTGCAGTCTTGGCACATGCTTGTTCTGCAGTAGGAGATGTGCTAACGCACGAACAGACACATTTCCAACAATACTTTGATCTAAGAACCTCAGGTGGTAGAAGTAACAAAGGTGATAGGCAGGTGTTGAGGGATCTGGTTATGCTTGTTGTGCTTTCATTTTAAAACTGGAGGTTTTATTTATTACTGTCACTTCATGACTTCATATTTTTTTAGAAGGCTGCTTCTGGAACCTGCTTGGGGATCCTGTTTCTCACTTGTTTTGCTGACATGGCCTTGTAGTGATTAGAGTTAGTCATTTTGCTTTCTTTTCTCCAGCTTCAGTCTTCCTCACCTATCTTGATAGTACTCATTTCTTCCGGGCATATTCTTTCTCCCAGGCAAACCAAATGAGCTTATTAGGGTGGAAAGGTAGGACAAAGACAGCTAGTGCTCTAGGCTTGAAGGGCACAGCCTGACTTGTCAGCAGAACATTTCTACACCATGTGGATGCCCCTTACACAGCTGTAGGCTGGCTGGCCCAGATTTGGTACCTGCTGGTGTCTTTGAAGGGCATTAGGAGGTGACCACTGGCCATTCCCTGAGGGTCTAGCTGAACCTGTCACTCTGCGCCCTTACATTCATCAGACTGATCAAGAAATATGCACCTCTAATAGCTCATCTCAGCATAGGGCACAAGTTGCAATTTACTGATTGCTGCCTCCTCTAACCCGTCGGCCTGCACAGAGGGTTGCAGCATTTCTTTGGCTCTCTTCCCAGAACATACAAGTCTGCATGGCACTTCTCCTCTTGGCCCCACTAGGGAGGTATCTTGCGTCCTATTCTGGGACAGTCATGTTTCTGCATGTGACAGAGGAATGAATGACTGTTCTGTCCTGCTGGAAACAAAGGACAGCTCCAGTCCCCTTCAGAGATCCCCAGGAAAATAGCAATCTGATTGTACAGTCAACCAGCGTTCTTGAAACACAATTCAATCTAAAGGCTAATGTTAAGGATCACTTAAATTATTAGAACGAAGCAACTGCTTCTGAATTAAGTCATGGTACAATTCAGCAGCATGCAGCAATGTGGCATGGTGGATTGGGGCAGGCAGGGAGGGAGAACAGCATATCTG